CCCTGGAAGCATTCAAGGCCAGGTTGGATGGGGCTCTGAGCAACCTGATCTAGTTAGCAGTGTCCCTGCTCACTGCAGGGGGGTTGGACTAGATGACCTCTAGGGGTCCCTTCCAACCCAAAACGTTCTGTGATTCTATAATTGCTGAATACATTAGATTAGAAATGTTGCTAAGAAACAAGCTGAAAACAGAAAATCTAGTTTCATGAGATACGGAATATAATTTTTATGAATTCTTGTCCTACTATAAAACATTTATATAAACATAAAAATGCGAGTATACTAAACTCTCTAGTTTTTGCAGACTTTAGGAATTAAAAATAATGGGAATTGAAAATGTAAAGTTCTGTGAGGAGTCAGGGTGCAGAGGAATAGCTCAGGTCCACCTTTGCCTGTGTGGTATAACCTTGAAGGTGCGTTTCTGTAGGTGCCATGGATGTTGCATTGGGGTCTGCTGCGACTGGAGTGTTCACAAACTCATCTTGGCTTTGGACTCACCTTTATGAGGTAGGCCATCTGCGTTATTATTAAACCATAATAATAATAATTCAGTAACAGCTGTTGTTATTGAAAAGTTAGTGCATTACTGAAAATCTTACTTTATGCAAATCTAAAAGGTACATTATTACAATTTGAAATCTCGTAGGAATGGTGTTAGTACTGTATTTAATTGAAAATAATTAATTTTGACAATTAATTACTAGCTCTAGTGAAGTTTAATATACAGCAAACAGCATGCACATCATCTCAAGGATCTGCATCTTCTGATGATTTACTGCATATGCATAAGCTCTGGACTACTGACAGTAATTAGTTGATGTTGAAAAGATAATTGATCTTGCTTAATACCACCGAGACAAATTCGGAGAGGCCTCATCAGTGGCTGAAGTGTGATGGCTAAAGGAAATCTCTGAAGAGAAGGATTTGTATTGTCAGGAAAAAAAAAAGCAGTCTTTAGATTTTGCCTTTTGACTAACACCTAAAAAGTACCTAAAAAGTAGGATTCACTGTTTTGTTTTACAGTATATTTCCAAATACCTAATATTATATTGGGCTGAAGATTTTTAGACTGATCAAAGCTGAACAAAAATAAGCGTGCATGATACCAGGGCCTATGAATGTGGTTTAAAAAAAAATAAATTTGCCAAAGCTATCACTGTTTCTTTTTCAGGCCAGCATTTTGACGGGAGACAGAGTTTGGAGAATGCCTCTTTTTGAACATTACACAAAACAAGTAACAGACTGTCCTCTTGCAGATCTGAGCAACATTGGAAAGTACAGCAGGTAAGATGTACCAATATCCTTCATGTGCCCCTTTCTTCCAGTGTATTCATTTAATGTTTGTGCTGTTGGTTTTGCTTTAGAAACAATGCAATTTCTCTGCTTCCCACAGGGCTGGAGGAGCATGCACAGCTGCTGCATTCCTGAAGGAATTTGTGACTGCTGCTCACTGGGCTCATTTAGATATAGCTGGTGTGATGTCAAATAAAGATGAGGTGCCCTATCTTCGAAAAGGCATGGCAGGGCGGCCTACAAGAACGCTAGTAGAGTTTGCGGCTCGATTAAGTCAAGACAGCCACAATATCTAATAAAATACTTATTCTAAAATCATCTGCTCTGCCTTATAATACTTTTTAATAAAAATTTTTTTTCTTAAATGAATGCCCAAAGCATATTTTCACAATGGCAATGAACTACAAATGTGTTTTTATAAATCATTACTTCTTTAAGATCTCACCTTTGAGATTTGTCATCCCATCTTACACAGTTTAAAATAAAAAATACTGTATGAACTATTTGAGATATTTAGTACCAAAACATGACGATGGAAAAGATCTGAACTCCTATTTTATATGTAAAGTAAGCATAATTATTGTAAACAATAAATCTCTTATTTGGATGTGCGTGTTTTGATCTGAGAATTAACAATAGCTGGAGATCATAGCTGTGCCTCAGTTTTGGGTGAATGGTAGGTAGTAACTCTGCAAAGTTGCTTATAAAAATGCCATTCTGAGATTTTTTCCTTAGAAAAACTAAACTAAAACCGCCAGTGCTGAGTATGGAGGTAGAAGTGATGCACCATCGGACTTTTTAGGCTGTTGCAATTAGCGTGATTAGCATGGCTTCTCCACTAAGTTATGTAGTGAGTCTTAAACAAATGCCAACAAGAGTGTATCCTGTAACTGTCTTACAAAAACTAATGAATGCAAGTAAGGGTGTGGTGGGGTTTTGGGGGGGGAACCTGCAGGCCTTTGGCATGATTTCTGTCATCCTGCTGCTTCCCCCTCTGCGGGCCTGAGGCTGTCGGGCCCCGAGCAGGGACAGCGTTCCCAGAGTATCAGTTCAGGCGTCAAACAGACCTCGCACTTAGAACGTGGGGCAAGGTTCTTCCTGAGAATGGAGGGGATCCAGGCCCAGAGGGTGGGGGTTTGGTTTTGGGTGGAGTTTTTTTTTTGGTTTGGTGGGGTTTTTTTTGTTTTTTTTTTTTTTAAAGGCTGGTATGTTTATCAGTTACCTTTATATGTTCTCAACAGCAGCTGCATCCACTGCATACCGCTTTTTGGGAATAAACATATCTTTCAACCAACACTACACACATTTTGAAATATAGCATGGGACACAAGAAGTTGAGAAAACACTGAAAGGAATTTCTTTAAAGTGTACACGAGATGATCACGTAATTTATTTTACTATATATAGTCTTACTAAGAAAATGAAATACAGCATCCATTTTAATTTTTGCTCTCAAGGTCAAATTTAATTGACCTTAGGGTAAACTCAATCTTCCCCAAAAAGTTTATGTTCAGTTTTTAAACTTGTGGAGTGGAAAGTAACCAGTCGAGATGAGATTTCTCATATTCAGGCTGAGGAGAAAAAAAAATCTCCAACGTGTACCAGAGACACTTCTGCCGAGAGAGAGGTAAAAGACACCAAAGACTCTCTGCAGGGAAACAGAAAGAATCAGTTTGATCCCTTCGGTTTGGGGGAGCTCAGGGATGAAGCAGCAGCAACTTTCAGAAAGAATTTTCATCAGAACAAGATACTCTCTGCGAGTGTTTCCTTCTAACTAAAACAACTGCAGAATTTTGACATAGGACTCCCCATTTCAGTGGGTGATTGCTTTTATTTGTGGGAGGAGGGAGGGAAATAAAAGGAATTCCTTTGACAAGAGAGCTGCACTGCTAACCACAACCAGGATCGTTTTACCTCTTTTGCTACAAAGAGGTTGCATGCCATGAAGAAAAATTCCATGACTGGGTCTGCCAGCGTGTGCCCGGCTTCCCCTGAAACTCGCGAGGCTTTGCAGGTGTATTTGGGCTTTGCCGCGGGTGTACGTGCCGTGTCATTGGAGGCCGAAAGAGGTTTAAAAACTCTGCCGGGGTCTTTGCTCGGTGCCCCTGGTGTAACTCGGGGTTGCTCACCCCTGGCCAGGCAGGACGCTGTTCTCAGACGTGGGAGGCTCACGCAGCGGGGAAGGAAACCGCCCGGGAATGATCTTGTGGAAAATCCCGAGTGCCAGCTGGCTCCTGGGGCTGTGAGCGATCGTGTTGCCGTGCAGAAAAATACGTGGGTCAAAAACTAGGGAGCCAACGTGGTGCATTACGGAGCTACATGAAGGAGTAATAAAAGGTGGGAAAGGAAAGCCTAGGTAGCTCAGTAGCCATGCTTTAAGGCTTGTGTGACCGGCAGCTCTGGGGGAGGCGTAATTAATACTGACCTGGTATAAAGGGGAAGTTAAATGGCCTTTGACTATTGCTTAGAAGTGTACTTTTCCCTGAAAAATTTTCAAAGCCTGACTCAAGCGCTGTTTTGAAAACAGTATAAATGCTTTTTAAAACTCCTTTCTGGATATTGGGTCATATTTATATGCTGGAATGGGCCAGCTTTTATTATCAGAACAGCAGTGCATAATATACGAAGGCAGAATATTCTCCTAAATATGCCTATATGTTAGAACCTTACATTGCGCTCGTTGTTTGGGCATGCAGTGAAATGTTTTCTGTATTCAACCGAGTTCCACAAACTATTTCATTGCTCTTTGTCATTGTCAAAAATGTGATAAAACTTGGGGGGGGGAAAAAAGTTGTTGTCTTGTACCTTTAAAAGGAGTTCTGAAAGTTTGCAGAGCGATGTTTTATACAGAGACTTGATGCATGTCCTGGTTTTATAAATATGTCATTTTAGTAAACCTGAAGATTTTCTTTCTAGAAAGCACTGCAAAAAGTGTTTTTAATAGCATGCAGACAACTGCCAGTATCAGTCTGATAACTTCTGGTTTGGACTCTGTTCTTTCTACTTTGTTATTTTATGTTTAGGTGTTGACCAGTGCATCCAGAAGTTTCTGGATGTTGCAAGACAAACGGAATGCTTTTTTCTACAAAAAAGACTGCAGCTATCAGTCCAGAAACCAGAGCAAGTAATTAAAGAGGTATGTTTAAATTGATGTACCTGCGTTGTGCTAGATCAGATCGGCTGCGTACCAGTACAGTTAATCACCTCGCTCACGTTAATTCTGGGTTTCTCGGCATGATGCTGTATGCTGAGTTGGTAGAGCTTGACCGTTAACATAACTCTCGCCATGAACCTGAAGAAGGCGGATGCCTGCTGCTCTGTGGGCTGTTGGAACACAGGTGATGGTTTCAGTGGAAGAAACAAACTAGTTAGTCGCATTTTTCTGGAAGTAATCATCTCTGAAATACGTGACCTAGGGGAATGGAACTAGAGCATTCACAGCGCTTTCCCTGTTTCATTAGACGCTTTTCCGTTATTAGAATCCCTGTAAGATCAGCTTGAAAACTCAAGTTAAAAAAATCGCGTGCTTTTTATGTGGAGTGGTTATTCTTATTAATACTGTCTATTTACTAATGCATGTTTTTTCATCCATAGGATGTTTCAGAATTAAGAAATGAATTGCAGAGAAAAGAAGCGTTAATTCAGAAACATTTGGGTAAACTGCGGCACTGGCAACAGGTCCTGGAAGATATCAGTGTACAGCACAAAAAGCCTGCAGAAATGCCTCAAGGTCCGTTAGCTTACCTAGAACAAGCATCTGCTAATATTCCTGCTCCAATGAAGCAAACGTGATCTTTGATTTTACATATCTGAATATTTTCAACAATGCAAAGCCGTGGTGTTAGTTTTACTTTGTATGGGTTTTGTATAATGTAATTTGTACTACAAATATAAATAGTTACGACAACGAAGCAAAATAAATTATATATATATATTTTTTTTTTCCCAAAAATGTGGACTGGTTTTATATTTCAATGGAAAATATGCAGAGTTGCTATTCGGGGTGCTCTCTGGTAGAAGTGTGTTTTCCAGAACACATCCTGTTCCTTCTAGAAAGGGGGGCCCTAGCTTTCCCCTAACTATATCTTTTCTGGTACAATGAAAATACTTTCAAAGGTTACTGTTTGGTTTTACTGGAAGATTTAAATGTTTTGTGATCCAGTAATTGTCCTTCGGAACCACTGTAGAAGCACCCTTAGAATTGTCTGTATCTAGGTCAGATCAAGAGTACTTTTTTTTTTTTGAAGTGAATTGTCCATCTCCACTGGACTTTTGCTCACCTCATGGAGAGGTCTCGGGATACACAAATTGGATTCTTACAGGATGAAATGAAACTGCAAAATGCACCCTGGGGGGGTATGTAATGCAGGCCCAGTGTTACTGGTGGTCTATCGGTCAGGCTAGTGTAGAGCTGGTTCAAAGTACCCATCACCAAAATAAAGACCACTCATAGTGGATGTTGGGTTATCATCACTGTCCAGTCTGCAGAATTAGCTTCTACTGGGGTGCACTATTTAAAAAACTAAATGTAGCCAAAAAAAAAAGATTTTAGAGGTAGAAATAGCAAAGGAATCCTGTCTCTGTATTACAAGGCAAGAAGCCACTTTCTAGGGACACCTTTCTGGGGACAGAGGTAACTAATTAGAATATCGTAACCCTGGAAATTAGAATTAGTAATTGTGTATTGAAGTTTGTAGCATGCTTTAAAAGTTTTTGGAGCAGAGTGGATGAAAACTCTCATGAAAAACTTAGCCCTGTACATTCCTGATCCTCTCACAGATAACCACGGCACTCCTCAGTGTTACTGTGCACCATTTTATCCCCTTCTTGATTATGTGTATAAAAAGTGTCTTCTTGCTAAATCTGATGCCAAAGTCTCCCTCCAAACCAAGCAGTTCATCTTGGAAAAAGTGCTGGACAGCTGGGATGACAGTATTGTCCTGTAGAAGCATTCTGCCCCGTCTGCCACCTTTTTACAATGGGTGAGGTGCAGTGGCTGTTTTGCATCTGTTGGTACAGTTCTTGCTGGCTGTTCGATATAAGAAGAGGTTTGGCTGGAGGTATGCCTCTTCGCACATGTAAAATTTGTTACGTAGCTGGGCTCAGCTGGTTGTAATTAAATAGGGATTCAGATCATACAGCAGTTGAAGATGAAATATTCTGTCCTAAGCACCAGGCTGCTGGTTGCACAATGCTCTGCCTTTCACATTTGTTGATGAATTACCTGAGGGTTAATTTCTTCATGGGTGTCTTCCTTCCCGGTAATGAGTTAGCTGGCATGATCTGACAAATGCAGTCCTTCGCCTGCTTTGCATTTAGGTGGGCCTAAGAACAATATCGAGATCAAATGTACAAGTACGCATTCCCATAAATCTGGAACTCTTGAGTGTATTGGTCTGACTCATGCTTCAGCATAACATAGCAGTATTTTGCAAAAACATAGAAATGGATGATTTACAAGCAAGTTTTAATGTTCATACTTACATGTTACCCTAATTCATCACGGTGATGGTTACATGTATTGAAGTGCAACAGGATTATTATATTACAACGCTGACTATACAAAACAGTTTATTGAGCAAACCAGAAAGTATTTCTAAACCAGCCTGCTATAAGCATGCTGTTCTTAGAGGTATACTGCATGCTGCACAGCTTAATAGAAGTTTAACAAAAAACCTATTAAAAACTTTAAAAATTACATTATTATAGGCAGAAATTATTTTAAACAGCTGATGAAGCAAATGTATGAACCGACAGAAATCACCTACAGAAGTAAGATTTTTTTTCAGCTGGAGCCAGATAGACAGGACATACCAGAGACCAAACTGCATATTTAATGTAATTGTGGAGTGGTACAGTCTCTTGATTAAAAAGTCTCTTTACGTAACATTATCCAGAATTTTGCTTTGTCTTCATTTTTTACACAGGTTGTTAAAAAAAATGCCTTTTTCTGAAATCCATGCCTATAACTCCATAGCATTTAGATGTAAGAGACTGCAGTTTTTCCTAATTATTTACTTGGAAATTAACAATTTTTTTTTCTTTCTAAATCATACATTGGATAATCATTCCCTAAAAGAAAACAGGAAGAGCTATTCTAGTAACTCTGAGAAGTATGGAAATAGTTTGCTTTAAAATGAAAAATATTTAGTAAACCATTCTTGTTGCTGAGGGTCTTGTTTTTTGTCATCTTTGGTTTGTGGTGGTTCATTGCCATGTGTCCTGTGCAAACAAATAAGCATTAGCATCACTTACTTACAATCTTACCAATATTTAATACTTTTTTCCTGGAAAAACTCATGATCCTGTGAGTGGATCTGTGCTTACATGAACTGGATGAGGCCAAAAGGTGCCAGCTACAATTTCTACTGGGCCCTGCACTAGCCTGGTAGCTGGGCTAACAGCATGGGTAGTAACACAAAGTATGAAGGAGAGCTAAACAGCTATGGAGAAATGTTTAAACGTAATTCTTGACTTGACATCTCAATAAAAAAATGGATGCTTCAAGAATACGAAGTCTTGAAAATCAGAAAATGGCAGCAGCAATTCACTCTTAAAGATACGAAATACAATTTATGCATTAAAAATATGGGTAAAAGTTTTATTTGGAACTGAAAGATTTATCTGACTATTAACTGGCTTTTATAATCAATCCTATTGGTAGACAGCTGTCTGAATATGAGCAGTGCGCTCAGGCGGCTAAGAAGGCCAACAGCACCTTGGCTTGCATCAGGAATAGTGTGGCCAGCAGGAGTAGGGAAGTGATCGTGCCCCTGTACTCCGCACTGGTGAGGCTGCACCTTGAATGCTGTGTTCAGTTTGGGGCCCCTCACTACAAGAAGGACATTGAGGTGCTGGAGCATGTCCAGAGAAGGGCAATGAAGCTGGTGAGGGGGCTGGAGCACAAGGCTGATTAGTTCCCTCCCTGGCTGAGGGAACTGGGGCTGTTTAGCCTGGAGACGAGGAGGCTGAGGGGAGACCTTATGGCCCTTTACAACTGCCTGACAGGAGCTTGTAATGAAGTGGGTGTCACATCTCTTGTCCCAAATAACAAGTGATAGGACAAGAGGAAACGGCCTCAAGTTGCACCAGGGGAGGTTTACATTGGTTATTAGGAAAAATTTCTTCACCAAAAGGGTTGTCAAGCATTGGAACGGGCTACCCAGGGAAGTGGTTGAGTGCCCATCCCTAGAGGTATTTAAAAGACAGGTAGAGGTGGTGCTGAGAGACGTGGTTTAGTGGTGGACTTGGCAGTGCTAGGTTAATGGTTTGGCTTGATCTTAAAGGTATTTTCCAACCTAAATGATTCTATGATTCTATTACATAGTCCCTGATTTTTCAGCATTCAGGATTTTTTTTAACATTTATATTAATTTCAGAATTTCAGTTAGCTTATAGTAGCAAATATGACCACTTATGATTGATTGATTTAAAAGAGTAAGTAAGTAGCAGCCAAGCTACCCTCCGTCTCCCTCTATGTTTAGCTTTAAAATACAAATGTGATTTCCCTTGGCAGTCATCTGGCATGACGCAGAATGCTTTTATCTTTTAGATGTAGGAATTGCCAAACTGGATCCAAACCCGTGTCCCGGGTTTACTGTCTTTGGCAGCAGTCAGCACCATCTGCCTTCAAGGAAACAACTCAGTAACACACAAGTTACAGGATAAATAATCCCCACTAGGAGATAGGTGAGAAGGCTGGCTTTTGTCCTCAAGTATAGTGGTAGGGTGGGTTTTTTTAATATTTATCATTATAACCGTGTAATGTTAACTACATAGATTTTTAACTGTTATTGAAGAGATAGTTCAGTCATGATTCATGAAATGCTAAACATTGCTTAAATAATAATTCATAAATTTGAAGAAAAATTCAAGCTTTTCAGAGAAAAACCATCAAACTAAGAAGTTTTTAGTTAAGTATCTGCAAATCACTTTTTAATTCTCTAAAGCCTTTGACAAATGATTAGTCTAGATTAATTCAAATATCCCCTAAAATACAAATATGCCATCTTCACCTACTGAGTGCAAAGTGAGGAAACAGAAGGAGAACACATCCTTAACAGAACCCCTGATACTTGCCCGAAGTTTTAAACAGCCATGTTCACTATTAACTATATTCTTAGTTAAATACTTGCAACTCCTCTATTTTTTGTACCGAGAGGGATTGCAATCATAAGCTCTGCTGGGCAGTGATTATAGCCTACTTCTGCAGTAAGGTTCTGGGTCTATCTGCAGAGAATTGAACACATGGAGTTCACTGCACAACAGGAACCTTATGTCATTGTTTATTTCCAAATGTCTAATGTGTTTGTATGCCTACAACATTCTGAATACCAATTCATTTACCATCTTACAAGTCACTGCAAAATGGACAAATACCTTGTGGCAGCACTGCTGTCTGAGGACTGTGCTGATGGAGAGCCGACCCTGAGGCAGCCAGGGCTCCGGTCTAAGCTTGTAGATTTTGTTATTTGAGGAGCACTTCTTTTTGACCTCAAGTCACAGCTCAAAAAGCTCTTTGCGTAGGAAGCTAAATTCGGAACGCTGACGACACGACTGGGCACCTCAACTGTTTTCTTCTGCTGTTTTTTATTGTAACAGAAAACTTCATTACACATGCATTTTTTTTTACATTTTATACTATAAAACCTCAACAATACCTCATTCCTAAATACCTTGTCAGGAGCACCCAAAAATGAAGATTCCCATCTTTTTCTATAGGCATTTAAAATAAATTCTCAGGGTATGCTGTGAGGATCCATGGATTAGGTAGTCCAAATAAAACAACTTGTGTATTTGACCTTGAGATTTTAGATACATCAGAGCCGATAGCTTTGCAGAGCTCAGTCAGGTGCTTTCCACCAAGCTGACCTCCCTTCTTTGCATGACTATAGACAATATCGTACAGAGGGGCTGGAATGACAAAGGGCAAATCCTAGGCAGCCCAAACACAATTCATAATTTTCCTTGATGCATACAATATCCCAAATAGCAACTCCCAAATCTGCAAGCAGCTCCCAAACCTGCAAGCAATGGCTGTCTTTACCCCAGTGAAAGACTAATGTCTTTAGAGTTCTAGTGTTTTGCTTAAACACCTGTATCTATATGCATATATACTTCTACTGAATTTATATTATACTCAGCACCTGACTGTAGCTTGGCTTACTGGAAAGAATTCTACTGAATAACATTACCATAAAAAATTAATAGGACTTTTATTGTCCAGATCACCTGTATGAATGATTCAAACAGCAATAAAACAACATGATTTGCAATTTTAATTGCATTGCCCATCTTACCTTCATGGAAGGAGTCAAGCATCCTGTATTAGGGTTGAAAGAAAATGATCGATTCCTGTAAGATTCAGTGTTGCCTAAAAGTGAATGCTGAAATTTTCTTCCTTCCTGAGGGGAGAGAAAGTTACATGTATGGAAACATCTATTTGTTGGAAGTTGGTATGGAAACATGTATTTGTCAAAGTATTCCAGCACAGGAAGAAAGTTATTGGTCTGAAGCCACGTGTGAAACACTGAACAGAGCCTTCCAACAGATTCCAAAATATGTATGTACATATAAAAGGAAATCTTACCACCAGCTGCTTGATAATCTCTTCCCTCTCACTTAATTTGTCTTGCAGAGAGCTTATAAGGTGTGTATCTTCTGATCTGGACTCCCATTTTCTTGACTCTTCTTCTAATTCTTTAAGTCTGTACCAAAGAAAATGTAGACTGGAAAAAACTTCCTCAGACCAGGTTCAAGACTCTGACCTAAATTCCAAGCCTAAAATACAGGGACATAGTCAGGCCTTTCTGATAAAACAGCATTTTTAAAAAACGTACATGGATTACACTTAAGTATAGAATGTTGTGGAGTTCTGAAATAAATTGCCACCAGAGTTAACCCACAACACCTGTCCAGTGTAAAATCTAGCTCGTGGTGTAAAATACTAACAAGCTTGCACATCACAGTGCTAGTCTAGTTTCCTAAAGAAAAAAATGCGTGTCGTAGTATCTATGCATGTCTGTATTCATCTGTTTGTTCTCTTTTCTGACCCAATAACTTTGGAATCCACAGGCTAATTCCAACCAGATTTGATAGAGGCCTCAGAAATACTCAGTTCCTATAACTTACGTGAGAGAGGCTTGGATATACATGCTGCTTCAGTGAACCCTCTAAGACAAAACCTATAGTGTGAGTTCAGCTCTTTAAATGCCTTAATCAAGGGAAAAGATTCAAATGAGAACTTACACCTTCTTAGAGATCCTGTGGACACATACATCTGATTGACCCATGAGAAAACAAGCCATTATTTCATCAGCCAAGTTAATGGATTTTGCTGCTTGAGAAACAGTGCTATGAAGTTCACCTGCCATACTGAGAAATGTATTACAGAATACAAACCACCATTTTGTGGGGTTTTTTTGGTGAGGGTAAACATTTTTGAGAGGGGGGGACCCTCCTCAATCTTATACTCTTAATTTAGTGTATCTCATAGTTTAGATAAAAAGGTAAATAACATCTGAGTGGTTTGAGACCTATGTACATGCAAGTAGGTTTCTCTTCTGGACCTACACCCCACAGCTGGGACAAAAGAAAGGGACAAGAGGTATATATAATCACAGTGATTATTTCTGAGGGGCCTCTCCTGTACAGTCTGAAGCACCACAGAACTACTCAACTCCACAGGGGGCTGCAAAGTGCATTGATTTGCATGAGTTAGTGGGGCTGTCCTGGGAAATTTGCAAGGGAGTGAGAATGAGCAAGAGCTTAACCTCAAAGATGCTGCTCTGCTGAACAAAATTAAATACAAGATCATGGACCAAGGCAAGGCCTCTGGTATCATCTGTGACAAAGATGCATTTACTCTTCATAAAACTGCAAGATGCTAAGTGCAGGTTTTGATTTAGCATTGTAAAACTGTATGTCTAGTGCTTTACATTAAACAATATTCAGTTTATTACAATATATCTGGGTCTTTTTGTGTTTGCAAAGGAAAAATCTATAAATTTCTATTTCAGTGCTTATAATATTCTACCTATGAGTAATAAAAAATTATACATACTAAGAATAATAATTTCAAACAGAACTCATTGCCAGTATGAGCCAGAGTTTATTTAAATGACTTACTCGGTTTCTAAGGAGAAAATCTTTGCTTGGAGATGTGCCCGAGTGCTGCTGAAATCAGATAATATGTTTTCGATTTCCTTCCGGTGATCTTGTTTCAGTATGTCCAGTTCTTTTTTATGCTTGATATTGAGGTCTTCTACCAGTAGCCTTTCATTGGTATTAAAATATGTCTGAATTCTCACATCTCAATACTAGTTTATTATCATTGATCAAAGCATGCAGTTTTGCGGTCTTTTATTGACTACAAAGGTAGTTAGTTAACTGGGCAGAGCTCTGGCCTTCTGTTTACTGATTTGACTCTGACACTTCAGTTGCAATCTGAAGCAGAATCACACTAACACTGAGGAAGAGGAAAATTACTTGGACACCTTCAGGCTTCAGGAAATGGAGGGTCTATTCTATATAACAATGCTATTGATATTCTGTCTATGGTTAGTTTGTACAAAAATCTTAATGGTCAAACATGACAATAAAGTACCATAGGAACTCACTTGTATTAAGCAAAATTATTTTGAAATCTCTGGGATTTTAACATGAGGCTCTGATGCTATATTTCATCACATTATGGCACCAGATACATTTAATACTGCTTACCACCATCCTAAAAATATTTTTTTAAAAAAAAGTGAAGGAAAGAAACGTTATAACAATGCCTTTAACTACAATTGTCTCTAACAGACAATATATTTTGAAAGATACTGCTATATGATAACCACCGCCAACTGAAAAATAAAAAATGCCCAATATTTTTTCAAGCCTAGCCGTAACACTGCTTTCTGATACCAACCCCAATAGACATCTATTGAAGAATCATTGTTAACTTGCTGTCTTTTGTTTGCTAACAAGTTGATAAACCTTGGAGACTTTATCATTAACTCAGTCCAGAGCCCATGTTCCGTTGTTTACTGATTAAAATAGAGATGTCAAACACAGGAGATTAACAACTGTAATTGTCACAAAAGATATTCTGTTTACCTTTTTTTTTTTCTTTGCAATGTATTCCTAAGTCCCTTTCACTTGTTTCTGAAATGCTTCAGGAAAGGCCAAAAAGCCCACAATAGTTTCTGCCCTTGAAATTAGAGCACAGCCATGGGAGTGATTGATTTGGCACTCAGCACAAAATAAGCAGCTGAAGAACAAGGGTAAAAATGGGAGCAGAATCCCTGAAATTAATCTTCAGGGGTAGAATAAAAGCTTTCCTTCAGAATAGCCATTCTGGGGCTTGTCCTCTCCTCCCATAAAAAAAAAACCCTTTGTCTGTTCTCATCCTAGTCCTTGCAAAAGGTTTCTGAACTGGAGGTGGAATTCACACAATTCAGAGGAATGGAAATGGGAATGATTACTTCAGGCAGATTACTGGTTTCACTTACTTGGCAACAGTAGGAATACTAATTTTAAATAATTGGTTATAAAAATTTGGCACATGCAAATAACAAGCCACTATCATCTTTCAAATCAGAAACAACTATATAGCATAAGACAAGGTCACTGTTGTTAAAGTAACAGTTAAAAAGCTGTCATTTATATGCACTCACCAATTTAACTATTCCCCTACCCAAATTATTGGTCCTGCAAAAGCAAAACAAGAGCTGCAAGTTAATGTTCCAGATCTTCTGTGGTTAATTTCAGAGCAGCCTGTATCGGGTGCCTAGGACCATCTGAGGTCTTTGGTTCTACCTCCTCTTATTTGAAGGATTTTTCCTTATGTAATTTCCATTAATGCCTCCTCAAATTCTCACTGTAATAGAGCTACACCATCTATCCCCGGTAAAGATTATCCTCCAGCCCAGCAGCTTCAGCATTTGAGGCCTTTTAGACCTCATCACTGACATGTGAATAATTCTTCTCTTCATGAACAGAGGCTCTAAATTCCTTCAAAGTAGCTGGAGGGCACTGATGAAACTCTCTGGTTTGCGATTCTTTCTGTTGCTCTTGCTTCAAAAGCTTGAAATGAAAGTCACTTTCAAGTAACTCTCCAAAGAGTGCAAAGGATAAAAAAAAAAGTTTCTTTCTCATTCTTTAAATATCTACTGACTGGTAGACTCTGGCCGCTCTGACAGTCTGCCAAGAGACACTGTATCCCTTGAGTGCTTTTCTCTAGACTATATAGGACATGATTTTAAAGATTCCTTTAAGGGTATACTCTTCAGAAATCCTTTTATATATACAGCTTGAGTAGTTAGGGGCATACATTCTACACCACTGGAGAAATGAATTGAAAGGTACCCATGCACCAGATCCCTCAATCTCTCCGCAAAGAGAATGTGTTAAGTACGATCATCCAGAAATTTCAAAGGATTCAACAGCCATACAAATGCACTGGACAGTGAACGCCAGTCTTGTCTCCCATGTGAAAGGTAAGTACGGCACTTTTTCTATACACAAACGGGAAGACTTCTGTTACTGCAACATGCCACGTGCTCCGAGCCTGTGGCTGCACTAAAAGGATGCGGTCCACCTTCTACAAAGACAGCCATGACTACAAGTCAGCTTGCCCTTCCTGCGCCCAGACAGCATATTGCAGCTCCAGGCTCCCATCGGCCCAGAGGCACTGTCACCATCTGCTATCACTGCCCTTACTCCCCCAGTGCAAAGCTGGCTGTTACAGCCAAAGCATGAGTCTCACAGGGTATGTACGGCATTCTCAAGTGTCCCCTTTAGAGTTAACAACCCATTGGTTTCAGCTACAGAAAGTACGTACAAAACCCTGATATTTATTCTCAGAGACTAGTTCTACATTTTTTAATAGCTCTTGGGTGAGTTTGGTATTTGTTTATGTCTTCCAGTGCCTTTCAAAGGCTGATGTTATGCAGATTCTCTCAGGTCACTCCTGTGGGGCTACACTGGACATATTTCTCAGTGACATATAATGAACAGTTAGTTCAAATGCTTTTATTATGGCTGGAGAAAAATGTGAAATGAACTACTGCTTTTGCAAAACTCCTAACCTCTAAAATTAGTGGTTTAGAAGGGAGAGATTCTGACACCCATCACATTTAGAACACCTCTGATGCTGACATTATTACTGACTCTCTAGATAGCACTGTGAAGTGTGAATTTAATGCAAACCTTCTGTGCTGTTTCTCCCTGTCCTGAAGCTGTGTAGCTTCTTGCTTCTGCGACTCCAACTCAGCACTGAGTAGCTCCATTGTGTCCTTCAGAAGTAAATTCTCTTTCTTGAGTTCAGAAATCTCACTCTGACATTTTTCCAGTTCATCATGAAGACATTTGATCTGGCTCTGGCTACTTCCTTCCTAAGAAAAAGGCCAAATTTAGTTATTCACAGCCTCTAATTATTTAACACTAAGAGCTTACTGGAATTGTGTGCATTGAATTTTTGTGAACTGATGTTCAATTATATGTGCAATTCTATGTGCAAGAGCAAATCTGTGATCAAAACTTCCTGAACATGTTTCATAGTCCCCATAAAATTTATTTTATTGTAACTTTCGTTCATTTACTTGTGTTGTAGATTCTGATCTTTAAATGGGAAAAAAGCCATCCCATAGGGAAAAGGTGATAAACAATGCTAACATTTTAAAGTGTGATATAAGGGAAAGAAAACCATTCCATTTCTGTAAGAGATTCTGTGCACTTCTCTTGTCTCTAGAGAGAGAAATTTGCCGCTATTGCTTTTGCAAAACACATCATGGCAACAAAATAGGAACTGGATTCTTGCCTGTTGCTTCTTCAGTGTCCTCACATTCCTCAGCTCCATTTGGAGGTCTTCTATTTGTTTCTTGAGATTAGTGCATGATGTCTGTTGTTCAGAGAGTTCCATCCTTAGAGATCCTAGTAACAATCAGACAGACAATCATTAAGGCAGTCAGCAGCCAGCTGCATGGGGAAGGTAGATACAGACAATGTAGATGAAAACACTAATACATTATATTTTGCTTTGTTCCTCAACTCTTTCACCATTAAGTATAATGGCCTCCTATTCCTAGAGAAGTAACTCAGTCGAGCAATGGTAAGAAGATAGGGAGCTACAATAGCAATGACTCAACACTGGAATCAGAGAGGTAATTATGTGGCAGTTGTTTTGCAGACTAAATCACTGTAATTGCTTCTTCTAACCTTGAAGTTTACTGGAGCCCCCCTGCGAAGTCCATTGGTGTTTTATAGAGGGCCGTAAGGCAGGTGGAAGAGAGCTCTGGTTGTGTTAGAGAAGTGCAACACTTATGTAAGTAGACCTGTCATATATGGCAATTTTTGTGTATATTGGGTACAAGTTTCAGGATGGATCAATTACAAGGAGAAAGATATTTTTCTCTCTCGTCTCCCTACAATTTTTCTTTAACGAGAACAGAATTTATCTACTGAACATATAGAGAACAACAAATCTTTCTAGCAAATTTAAATTACTGAAAAAAACCCCCAAGAGAATCCAGTCTGCACTTAAAGCAGTTTCAAATTATTCTTTAATTAAAAAAACTTTTATAGATGAGCTTTAATAACGTGACTTCAAACCTCAGATATTACAGGTCCTCCTAATGCAGTGTTCTGTTTAGTTCTAAACAGTTTAGGGAACTTCCTAAACTGACTAAACAGTATGTATGGAACAACTGATCTCCACTACTGAACTCAATAGAACAGCCTTGAACCACATATAATTCCTCACATCATAGAAAAAAACCCGAGGAAAGTCGTATACACTAACTACAGTATTTCAATTTAATATACCTGACAATGCATACCCGAATGTTGTATACCAGGCTACTTTCCCAGCAACATTCTGCTGCTGACAATTGAGAGCTAGGTTAACAAAGAATATTTAGTCTGTATTGCTGAAATTGTAGGGTATGGGAAAGGAGGTTTACAAAGGCCTGAGTTCCCAGAAGATGGGAAAGAAAATGAATGAGGAGAAAGTCAGTGCTTCTCAGCATATAATCAAGGAGCAGGAGATGTGCATGACATGAGCATTATACCTAGCAACAGGGTTTGCTGCTTCTGTATCTGCTCGAGTTCATCGTGTAATTCTTTCTTTGCTTTCTCTTCCAAGGTTTGTATTTCCAGCCTATGAGACTGATGTTGGATCTTGAAAGTCTCATTAAATTCCTTTTTCAAACGTTCTTCTGCCTCCTGCAAGCAAAAGCACACACACCCCGAAAACAAAGTAGTTGAAGTCTATTCAGCACCTTGTTGTTTTACTTGTACTGTCAGGATGAATCTGGTCTTCATTGTAGAACTTTTATTTTCATCACCACTTTACTTGATATTTCATCATTACAAGAATAAAAAATGAGCTGAAGTTAAAAAAAAAACTTAATAGGGACAACGGAAATTATCAAGATATCTATTAGATTTGTTGCACATCATGAAATAATGACACTGTCATCTTTGCACTATTTGGCATCAGAAAGATGTTTTATTATTCAACATACAAAATCCCCCAGATTTGACTTGTATGTCATTACTTATCACAGCATGTCAGACAAAGGCTTCTATCTTTCCTTAGATTGTTCTTGGCTAAAACTTTCCCCGTCGTTAGAAGTGCTGCTGCTACACTGTAAACGACAGAGCAGTTGCTCTGTAGTGGCTCTGAAGCATGTCATTACTTATCACAGGATGTCAGACAAAGGCTTCTATCTTTCCTTGGATTGTTCTTGGCTAAAACTTTCCCTGTCGTTAGAAGTGCTGCTGCTACACGTTTACACGACAGAGCAGTTGCTCTGTAGTGGCTCTGAAAGCAAACTCCTATCCTTAGTTTCCTTTCTACCAGCTTACTGCCTTCAGCTTGGCTTTGTTAAAGCTGGGATTTTATTCTGAATATATAAACAAGATATTAAATTCTACTTAGTGTAGTTTTACTACATATGTTTTATAAGCAGGTTTTCCCTAAGGTGTGCGATATCAACAGGGACATCTGAACTCCACGTCACAATCACATGTAGATTTTTAAGTTGATTTTTTTTCTCAAACAGAAACATTCTTTAGAGCCTCAATATATTGCATTAACATTTTGTCACTGAAATAAGCCCACTTGAACCTTTAAAAGCTTTGGTTATCCACTTACAGAATTGATTTCTTGCAGGTATCTAAGGCAATTATACATGTCTATTATACTTCTTTTAAAGTATTCATGTATAAATTAATAATGGATGAAAAAGAATAAAACTGAGTCCTATTAATAATACACTTAGGAATTCCCTTGTGTTTCTGAAGCAAGAGCACAGCTAGAGGAGTTTGTATTCACTGCAGGCTAACTGTAGAGGGTAGGCTAAGGCTATACTATTTTATGAAACAGTTTCATTCACACTGTGGTCTAAGTTCAAATGTTAAAATTACAAAAAAAAAACAAACCCACAAAAAAACCCCCAAAAACCCCAGCCTGAAGATGATGAAGTTTCAAAATCACAGAATAATTCATTATGCGCAACAATGGCACCCCATCATTAAGATAGTAACTGAGTTTTGATAATTGGCTGTAGCTAATAGGGTTTATCCCACAAATATGATTTTTTTTTTTTTACGCTAGTATGTCATAAACTGACCTTGAGTTCCTGATTTTTGCTTTTCTCCAATATTTTTAAGACTTTTTGATGTGATGCCTCCAGCTGCAGTTTAACATTCTGGTTTTCTTTGATGGTGTTTTGAAGATCCTGCAAAAGCTTCTCTTTTTCTTTGTTGGACTGTAGATTATGTTTCTTCAGTGACTCCTTGAAATTATTTGCTTGCTGATCTAATATTTGCTTCAGCTGAGCCACCTTCCAGAAAAGTAAGTCAGCAGGATAGGATTAATGGCTGTATTCACAATGGAGAGGAATTATGTGCATTTGAGTACATTTTATGAACTTGTGTTGCTCTATGAAAAATAGCAAGATGCTTGTTTCATGCAAGGAGCCCTTTTTTCAGTGAAGAATGACAACCCTTTTGTATATACTGTCTGCTGCCCATCAAGTCCTTTTCTTAAATTATTTCTTTTCAAATTGTCTCCATCTCATACGTACAATCCATAGCTCAACTTGCACAATTACGATGGCACAAACCAGGAGGCAGGCCTAAGGCTGTGCTTATTGTCATCCTGAAGGTGTAGCACTGCAGAGTCCATTTATATAAAGCAGTAGATTAGAACCAACAGAAACAAGAATTCTGCACATCATGCTTCAGATTTGTTTTATTTTCTCCTCTCTCTTAGCTTAATGACTAAATATAGTAGACATGTCTATAATGGCTGACACAGAAGTAACAAAAAAATACCCATTTTTAAGAATAACTTGGGTTTTTTTTTCTGGTGGGGAAGGAAGAAGGATTCTGTTCTCTTTCCTATTTGATAGGTTTTCTAAACTTTCAGCAAAAATTTGTATTTGCCCTTCTTAAATTTTCCATTCCTAACATCATAGCTGTAAAACTCTGAAAAACTGCCTTCTGCAGAGAAGCAGCATGCATAATTAAGTAAGGCCAGTTAGCATTTTTGCTACTGTAGCTGACTTCCAAGTCTGTTTTTTCGCTCTGTCATGCCTCCTGCAACACCTCTATGTCTCTTGCCTTTTCTTTTTGGGAGCATGTGAAAGAGGATTGTCTGTTTTCCAATTTTTATATCCTTGTACTTTCCATCCATAGAGAAACAGAATTCAAACTAGGAAAGGAATCAGTTGGCTTCCTTAGAATTTCACATGACTTTAAAGGATTCAAACGATGTTACACATACCTGAAAACTAGATGTGATACAGATTATAACCTGCGACTCCATCCTATTTGTTCCTCTACACTAATATATGCTCTTTTTCTCTTCTTCAGTGTTGCCTTAATTTTCTCCATGCATACTGCAGACAGTTTGTTAGTTGAGGAAGCACTGTAGCTTTAGCTAGCTAAATAGTTGCTTGTAACTTCAACTGCACACCTGTGGTCCTTTCTGATGCAGCACCACAAGAGCCAGATGAAGATTTAGTAAGTTGCCTAAGGTGTCTATATTCTTCCACATTTCCTTCTCATAGTACTTTCTGGTATCTTTTCTGTTACATAAGAGAAAAGGAGGTATGCTGTGCAAGGCCCTTACTTCTCATTAACTTCATGGCCACAGTCAGCATTGCACTGTCCAAAGTGAGATACCAATGGGCTATGCCAGAACGCTCAAAATCATAGGAATCCTTTCTGATAATGGCTAAATATACTCCTGCTAGCTCATGGCTCTGTTCTTGCTTACATTGGTTGAACATGCTGGCATTTCTCCTCCAAAGGATGTGTGGTCTCTCTTCCCTCTCCTGAGGCCCTTCTCCATTCCCAGATGGATCCCATCTCTCTAAGCCTCTACTGTTCTCATAGGTTCCCAGCACAGAACTGTGCTCTGAAGGCTCAAAATGCTGTAAACCACAGAGCTTTTGTGTCAGTTGCCAGGGTCTCAACTCCTTCGGAAAAAGGACATTCTGTACTCCCATTTTTTGACCACAACCTTCAACTACATTGTACCTTGACTGTTCTTCACTTCTAGTCCTGACTTCTGCTTTTACCATTTCCTGGCATCTGCTCCCTTCTCTCTAGAATTTATACAAGTCTTTATATCCCAGGAATGATTCCTGATATTAAAGAATAAAAATAAATGCAAACCTTTTTTTCTGGGGACACCCACAGGCTAGAAAGTATTATTTCTACTTGACCAATTTGTCCTAGTTTAATTGTTTTTTCTACAGAGAAAACAAATAAGGGCCTGAAAGCTTTGTAAAAACTTGTTTATAATTTTGAGTAAAACGTTTGCATTTACAGAGTATCAGATGAAGATTATTTTTATATGAGCATGATTCATGTGAAACATGAATGTTCATGGCCTTCATGTGCTGCGGAGATAACTCAAAACCTGTTACTTGAACACACACGTGTCTCATGAGAACTGCGTAACTTACTTTACTAAGTCTGGTTTCTATACCTCTAAGCAGCTACAAGAAAGACCTACTGTTCCATTTTTGAATAGGTTTTACACCTGCGGAACTGCTGTTCCTACACACAAGTCAATATACAGTGTTCCTTCCATTTACATAGAGTTTGTCCTTCACTTCAAATCCACAAGTCAGGTTCCTCTTCTCCAATTAATTGGAGGTGGTCATTACTGATCATCACTGATCTTGTACTAGTTTCCCTCTGAACCCCTTCCAACAGGTTGCTCACAATGGGCCATACTGCTATTATAATTAACATGGATTTCCTTTACTAGATGGGGTAGATGTTTAGTGTATTACATCAGTTTATTACTGATGTCTCAATTCTGAGATCTACAACAGTATCCGTAATTCAGACATGACAGAAGTCTGCAAGCAGAGATGAGCCTTGTTAAAAATCTCTTTAGCAAAGCTACCAACTTGGGCAGTTGACTTTCTCCTATTTGGTGGCCAAACCAAGCAATCAGTAAAACTTGTTGCCAAATCAATCCAAAGGAAACATTTTTGAATGTGCATGTCAAAATGAAAAATTAAAATATTTCCTCTAGACTGAATTAAATGTTTTTAAAACTTAAATTATTTCATCATTTGCAAGGAGACAAATGGCTTCACTCACAGAACACAGGGGAAGAAGAGATGGCAGCGGTGGTTCTGCTTTGTGTGTGAGAGAGAGAGAAAGGAAGCATGGAGGCACAGAAAAATCGAGAGAGCAGTGTGTGTGCATATGAAAGTAACTGGGACACTCACCCAAGTGATGAAGGCCTAGGTTCTCCAATGACAACTTAATACACAAGTGAAGAAGTGGCAACAGGTGACACGCTGTAGCTCACCCTGTTTTATCCTATAACCCAGTGACAAGGGAACACTTTAAACAGTGAGAAAGCTGACAGAATTAAAAAAAAAAAAACAAACCAACAAGCCTAGGTCTCCCACACATCTTGGGAATGCTAGGCTGGTAGATAAGAAAAAAACAAACATTCCTTCACCCAGTGTTTTGTGAAACAAGTTTTTTATTTTGTTCCCTTTTAAGTGCCAGAAAATGAAAGATTAGTTTTACCACTTCTTAAACAATTTCAAACCAACATGGTCCATTTGAATTTCACTGAAGCTATCCAAGCAAATTGATTTGAGTTAGCAAATTTGAAAGAGCACCTCGATTCAGCTGCCCCAAGCTGTGAGTTTAAGTTGACTAATTATTGAGTCATTTCTTGGCTTTTTCCTTTGTGTCGTCCAATTAAACACAAAGAAAACTATCTGTCTGAACAAACTAGTGAAGAATAATTGCTAAATGTTATTCTTAATGAAAAACATTAATCGTCTTTAATGTGTCTGTGTGATGGGATCTATACAGGTGACAGTAGCTCACCCTGTTTTATCCTATAACCCAGTGACAAGGGAACACTTTAAAAAGTGAGAAAGCTGACAGAATTAAAAAAAAAAAACAAACCAACAAGCCTAGGTCTCCCACACATCTTGGGAATGCTAGGCTGGTAGATAAGAAAAAAACAAACATTCCTTCACCCAGTGTTTTGTGAAACAAGTTTTTTATTTTGTTCCCTTTTAAGTGCCAGAAAATGAAAGATTAGTTTTACCACTTCTTAAACAATTTCAAACCAACATGGTCCATTTGAATTTCACTGAAGCTATCCAAGCAAATTGATTTGAGTTAGCAAATTTGAAAGAGCACCTCGATTCAGCTGCCCCAAGCTGTGAGTTTAAGTTGACTAATTATTGAGTCATTTCTTGGCTTTTTCCTTTGTGTCGTCCAATTAAACACAAAGAAAACTATCTGTCTGAACAAACTAGTGAAGAATAATTGCTAAATGTTATTCTTAATGAAAAACATTAATCGTCTTTAATGTGTCTGTGTGATGGGATCTATCTGTGGCCTGGATACACTCCAAGGACAGGCAGATGCCAGAGCCACTTGCCAACTGAAGCTTTGTTTCCAGAGCTGCTGCAATTTTTGTTTATTATTTTTTTTGAACAATAAGTGATAAATCATAAGATTTAACTAAATGGGCACTTTAGCTTCTGGTTACAGGTAAAACATTTACTTTGTCTTAATGTCTATTGAACTCAAGCCAATGTTTTCCTATATAAAGAAAGGAAACACTGAAGTTTTTAGGTACTGCAGTTCCTTATAAAACTAACCTTTGATGTGAAACACTTAATGCTGTACAGTCAGCTGATGTATCAGCTGATGTAATATGTGTTAGCATTATTACATTCAAGCATGCTTTTTTTTTTCTGGCCTTCCTGAAAGTAAGCCAGTGAGTAAAAAAGAAGTCGGAAGAGTAGGCTGTAGATTTTCTAATAGAAAAACTGGAAACAGGCAAAATGTTGCTTGGAATATTTCTTCTGCAAATTAAATATTCATCCAGGTCAGGAAGATGAAAAGAGGCGTACGTAAACTTCAGCTGTGGTCACAACATTGATAACCTTCCAGATTCTCTTCATAGACAATTATTGGTTCAAAGCACTACTAGCCTGAAACATAAGATCATACTAACTAGAAATGGGCTAAGCAGTAAATTGGTAGCAATGGGGAAGATAATGTAGTAAGAAATCAGACATTATTTTTCCGTCATTTAGGGAAAAAGACCTACACTAATATATTGGAGATACAAACACACACTTTCTCATGAATCCTGCTACTTCTAACATATTAGAGGTTAAGAAACAAACATTTCTATCCCATCAGGTTTCCTCCAGCTGTCTTTCAGTTAAAAGGGCTTTCAAATCCACAATGCAAATCCTTCTCTGGAATATTCTGCAGTGCCCAGGCATTTTATTATGTTTCATTACTTCAAAACAGCCAGCCAGACCCTCAGATTGTAAAATTGGTAAAGCATCATTTAAGCCAATGAAACTATGCCAGCTCGTATCTGTCCAGAATCTGTTTGGCTCCTTTTACTGCTAACAGACCAGCAACAATGTTTCAGAATGTCTTCCTGCTGCAAAGCAAAACATATTGAAAAAAATGTACCTCTAATACCATTATACATTCACTTTTATCCACCAGAAGGGCATAAAGTGGTCTTAAAGATGCAACTAATATCTATCCACAGTATAAACTGCAGGCAACAGTATTTTTCTATGCTCTGCTGAATTCTTTTCAAATTTCAGGGTTATGTTTGCACTTGCCCTTTCTTATGACAATTGATTTTGCCTCCCACTGTCTTCCAAGTAAAGAAAAAATGAACAACTATTACTAAAAGATGACAGGTAAGTTTTGAATATTTCAGAAGCCTTTCAAGTTTCATTCTTTTCTAACCATAATTACTGCCCTTTTAGTGGGAAGGATGGCTTGATTCTTTTGAAGAAGTACCTCTTGGACTTTGATAGCCCATGGGCAAAAACACCGGGCAAGTATAAGGCCGTGCATGCCATCACAGTTGGCTCCCCCGTTTGATTTCTGCTTTGATTATTTTAATTCATTGTGCTTGCAAGCACTATGAATGCTTTCTTAAAGTCTACCTTACGTCTGCCATACCCTTTTTTTATTTATTGTATGTAAGAAGTGTGAAATCTCAAAGTCAAGATCTAAAGTTGGAATCAGAGAGAATATTTTGACTTCCTGTATCTTTTAAGTAGAAAGATCCAAGTTTCTTAATGCATTGCTAGGGGATGAATTTATATAAAAGGCCCCAAATGCTACAGTGTTTTACTCATACTATGATGCTATTACATCAAAACGGTAACATGGTGTAAGAATTAACAACAAAATAATGAAATTATATTTTACTGTTATCTTTAGGCTTATTTCACAGTTACTTCAGTTAAGTTCACACAGCGTTCCTAAACTTATGGCAATTCCTGACTGGAGGACAGGTGCAAACACACTAGGCACTTCTCTACTGCTGCTGTTTGGTGGTACCTAAAAGATCTCTATCAAGGCTTTGGGCATTGCTGTGCTACCATTGTTCAAAGATATATCATAACAAGGTGATGCTTGTGCTTCCATTTCATGTACCCTCTAATTCCAGAATAGCCCCTTTAACATGTGTTGAAGGGATCCTGTAGTAGAAAAGTAAGGAACTGGATGACTCCTAATGAGTTAGCATTCCACTCACACAGAATCTCACATCCATCCTTCCAAAGGACCAAACAGGTGTGAATCCGATTTCTTTATCCAGGTGTGAATCCGATTTCTTTATCCACAAAAATCTTAGTAATACAGAAATACAGCCACTCAGAAGTGCATCCCCAGAGATATGAAATGATCATGATTCTGTCTACTCCGCACAGTGTTCTAGCTATGTCAGCCCAACCCAAAACGTGCCTTATGCAGCCAAGGAAGCTATTTTTAAATCTGAAATTGTATCCAGGTTAGAACTGGATTAGTAACAGCACATTGCCTAACCTTTGAGGCGGAAGCTCTGGGCTGAGCCATTGCAAAGGTTCCCAGATGGGAATCATGCCCTGAGTGAAACATAATGTTGTATAGTAAATGGTGATTTCTTGGCTGTGAATATTCAGATATTTATAGAAGGAAAGTATTGTAAATTGAAATTACTTCACTTCCCTGGCAATACTGTCAAGTAATTAGTTCAGAAAGTAACCCATAGAATACCATGAAAAATGCAAAATTTCTCTTCAGAGGGAGCATTTCCTCCATTTGGGAGCATTGTTAGATTCTAAGGTATGTTTCTGTCCTGAATGCATGACTTCAAGAAAAGTAATTTGATGCACCAAGCAGGAGTAACAGCATGTGGCAAAGTGGAAGCAGGTAGGAGAGGGGGGCCAACATCCTGCTTAGCCCCATGATGAGCCTACCTCTCCTTTTTCTGTCTTTGAACAATCAAAAAGAGATTATGCCACTCAGAGTCTACAAATGCCAGCTGAGAAAGATCTAGGTCTTCAGCTTTTGTCGAGCTGTTCCCATGAAAGCTCCCACCAAACTTGCTGGCACTCCCCTTGAGCAAGCAGGCCCTTCTACATGTCTACACACAAAAAAAAAGTAATCAGAAAGTCAACAAGAGCTGTAGGGAAGATTCTAATCTCACTTAGCCGGGTCTACAGATGAACAGTCAGAGTCACCATCCAACCCTGATATAGCCAAACTCCTCAGCAAAAAGCCTTAGTATATTTCCAAAGAGTGATATATGAAATTTATAAAAATAAATAGGTTTGACAAAATCTTCATAGATATTCAGGAGCAGTATTTTCTGTTATTTCTATCTAAAGCCCTTGCATATTTTCTTGAATGATAGTCACAGCAAATACAATTAAAATCTAATCAAGAATCTCTCAGATGAGAGGAAAAATGAAGAGCCCTTTTATTACTGGGTTACATTTATGCCCAGTTTACCTCAAGTGAAGAGTTTTGAAGTTTCCCAGTTAGGACTTCTTTCTCTTTCTCTAGTTGTTTTAGTTCACACTCAGATTTTCTTTTAAATTCCTCTAGCTGTGTCTGGAGCTCCTAAAGTAAAAAAAAAAAAAACAAGAAAGAAAAAAAAAAGAAAAGAGCATGCAATAGCTGGGACAACACATGCAGCATGAAAGAGCATTTCTTCTGCATTAACCTAGATAATAAAGCAGTTTACACAGTAATACATGGTACTGTCTTTTAATATCACTTGTATTATTCAATCAAAGAAGTATTAACAGTTTGGTTTGGTTCTTTCTAATAATAGTGTTAGGCAATACAGCTCACATAATCCTAATCTTCTGCTGAAAGCTTCCCTGGGGTGGAAGACTGTACAGTATGAAGAGCCAGACTGTTTTGCCCTGAGTGGCATTAGTGTTTGAAAATAATTTAGTATGCAAGAGTCACCCACAAGATCTGAAAAAACACAACTATACATTGACCGTACAAATAACCAGATGACTAAGTAATGGGCAATGAGTGGACATGGGAACCAAAGGAAGCACTAGCTTATAGCATCCATAAAGAAAATTCCAATGAGGAAGTAAAGATAAAATAAAATAAAAAAAATGAAAACTGTATTATCACCGTATTGCTTGAAATAGTTTTTGAAAAATCACTGAGAGACAGTGACCAAGAATTTGCAGCAAATGTGAGCAATCATTTATTGTAGAAAGACTGAATGTGCAAGTTCTAGAAATGTCCTGAAGTAATATATATTACAAGCTTATTAGTGTGCTTGCTCTTCCTATTTGTGCCAATTTGCTGACTCAAAAAATATTCTACCATATTTTCAGACACTACAAATGGAAGAAACAGAGAAAAAATAGCAATTTAACAAAAAATACCTAAAATTTAAGAAAGTGATCATCATTGGGAGGGTGGGATGATATTAGGAAACAGAAGCACAGGCAATAGTGATGTATTTCTTGCAACTTATAATTAAATAAAGGAGGATACATTAGCATTTCACAGTTTAAAACCAGGATAACAGTTAGGTAGCAATTAAAGGATGGAATCAAACACAGAGACATGAATATTGCAAGGGAGAAATTAGCGTTAGTTTTGCCTGTCAAGAAAAGGAGAGGATATAATGGTCTTTTTGATTAAAACCTGAAGATCAGGTGTTTGCAGAATTCTCACTGCAACTCTGCCCACGGATTTCCTTCTCTGTATCTCGATTTTTCTATATAGAAAATAGATGCAGTACTTCTCAAACAGCTGTTGCAGGCCTTAATTGCATCAGAGGATATAAATAGCATTAATAATGAAAAATATTGTAATTTTATTGAAGTTTTACTGACTCAAGATTTTTCTGATTTATTAATATGAATCTCTAAGAAGAGATGGTTATAAGCAATCATATTTATTGCCTAGAAGTAATAAATGCCTACTGCTATGCCTTTTTCACTAAAGTATAAAGTGTTTGATATTTAAGTCTGATCTGACTCACATGAAGAGCTTCAGCCTGGCATCATTTTAAGTATACCTGTACAAACTTATTTACAGAAAAGAATACACTATATAAAAGGCAAAGTAATTTTCATAAGGCTTATACTTGATAGTGTAACTGTGTACCTTGAAGAACTGCATCTTCACATACTGATCAAACGTGAGCACTTTCACAACCAGATAAAACAATTTACTCACACAGGTTCCTTTCTGAGAAGTGAGATTGCATAAATGTATAAACCTCAGCAGTTTCACAGGCAGAAATGGATTCTTCTGACGAGCATTTAACACAATTCCTAGTCTCCAAAATCCAGAAGGAACTATGAAGCTCAACATTTAGTGATAGGAGCTGCATGCTTTTTATGACTTCATAACTTGTCAGCAAGTGATTTGATTATTCTCAAGTAAACGTTGAACTCTGAAAGGTGTAGGAGCATTAAAACTGGGAAAAATGGGTTCTTAGCACCAAGAAGGGTCTGAAGAACACTTGACCAGTAGTCTGATTCTACAACCTGCTCTAATCAATTTTTTTTTCTGTTTAGAATATGTCTGACAAACACACAAGTACATTAGGAGACAGAAACTAAATTCCTCCTTAGTTTATGCCCAAATTTGGCAAACCACTTGGACATGCACTGAGTTGTAAGCTTCACTAAGCATTACAGCATGTGCTTAAAACTAGACACGTGTTTCAATGTCTTCCTCCATTTGAATAGATTTCAGCTCACCTTTAGGTTCCTACTGCACAGATACATTACAGACTGCAAATTTCCTGAAGCCAAAGGATTCAGCCACAGATAGCAGTTCTCATGAAAGTGAAATTCTTTAAAGAATCTCTTAAGCCAATCACTGCTAATGCATATGAACAACAAAAATTACAGCTCAGCCACTTAAAACACATTGACAAAAGGTAACCTGTCTGGATCCATGAGAAGATGAGTATTCTTTCTGACTAAAGTTAAATAAGGACATATATATATACACACATGTATTTGTTTGTAACTAGTAGTCATTTCATTGGTAACACTTGCACTCTGAATCCATTTACCACACTTTGCAGAATTAGATCCTCTGCCTAAACAATGCAAAATTTTGATCAAGTCAATGTATTTGAGTATTTTGCAGCAGCAATTCATGGAAATTTAAGTCAGAAATTAGAATACACCTGCAAGACATTTTTCTTCAGGACGGACCTTATATTAATCACTCCAACTGTCACATGCAAAGCATGCAAGGATAAGTGTTGCTAAGAAGGCAGTTTATCACATCAAGGATAAATTCACCTTCCTGCCTGTGGACCTTTTCACAGAAATACATCAGTTTGACTTCTTTTTTTCTTTTTTTTTTTTTCCAGAAAGACCATAGCGAGAAAATCCTTGCATTTTATGTTAATTCAAAGTGCCTCCAATGAGGATAATTAAAATGATGTCACTGTGACCAATAAGATTAAAACCAGCTGAATTAGAGCATCTATAAATAGAAGAACATTCCTACCTTCTGCATTTTTTAATTTTAGCTTCCATTAAGTTTTAGACTGGCTTGATTTGCTTTGTATGCTTCTTTACAAGATCTCCCAGCCCTTTTAACAGCTATTCCTTCAGACAAATCTTTTCCTTACAGGACTGTGAGGCTTGCCTTTACAAAGCAAGTTCTCTGTGTCTTTTATTCATACCCTCTTTTTAAATAGCTACAGTTTGCATAGTTTATAAAACACACTAGCTATATAGTATGACAAAACCAGGGTAGGATTCTGGGGTTGCAGCAGTCTATTTTGTAGGGAATATGCTATTTAGGTGGATATACTCCATTGAAAAATACTGGCTTTATGTTAGTTAACAATGTAGAACTGTAGTGATTCAGGGCTGTATGCGTCTTCTGCAGCCTAGGGATGGGGGGTTTTTTGCTGTTCTGGTTTGAGTTTGGGCATGTGACTCACTTTTATGCAGGCTTCCTCAAGGGCAACCTTAGTTCTGTGAAAAAACACAAAGGACAATTTGGTTTTTGTTACGTCTCTGATGCCAGGTCTCATTTCCCAGAATGCTAGCATAACAATATAATAGAAGAATTAAAAAATTTAGGAAAGATTCAGGGCTGGACAATTGTTTAAGGTGAGACATTGTACAGAGAGAAATGTCAGGATACATACATTCGTCATTGTACTGAGATTACGCCTGGTATTATTTCTGCATAGCTTTTTAGAAGAACTGTTTTCTGTATTTAAAAGAAAATAAATCAGTATTCCAACTTTACCCCAACAGAGAAAGTCTGCCTTGGACCTTGTTCTCTTTAAGGTTTTGGTTACAGAAGAAGCTGAACACTCTGCCCTGGTCTAGCTCAAAGATGTCAGTAGTTTCTTGTCATTGAAGCGACTCATGTACTTTAGGTTATGAACACGAGTCAGTGTTCAACTGGATGAGGTCAGAGGTCTGGGAATCTTACAGGATTGCCTGCTGTGGAATAACCCAAAAGCCATTAATCTTAAAAGAAAAATTACATTGATTTCAGTACTTTTGGCATGCCATGCCTTTGAATATTTGAGAGCAAACCACCTGTTTAAGCTCTTGCACATCTTCAGAGCCAGTCTTGTTCTGGCTCCGTTTGGTAGAAATCATTTGCTGCAGCTGTGTTATTTGGTGTTTCAGTTCATCTACCTTATTAATACTTTTGCTTTGGGAATTCAATATAGTTGCCATATCTTCTGTGGTATCAAAATTTAAATTTCAAACAGCATAAATAACTTGTGGAATTTCCAATGTGAGTGACTACTAACAAGGGAAATGACATTAATTAGCATCTCACCTGCTTTTTGCAGTATTTCCTTCTCTTGAAGTGTATGTCTCTCTCTGACTACACTTAGATCTTTCTCCACTTTTTTAACTATACCTTTTGATCCCAGAATTTCTTGTTGTGTTCCCTTAAGCTACACTTCCAAATTCTAAAATATGCATGACATTACTTCGACATTTATTACATATGTTCTTTTTTTGCTGAAATAAACGGTCATTTTCTCTCTTGGCGTAGTTCCATGATATAAATCTTTCACCTACAGAGCTGGTTTAAATGCATTTTTTGTTGCTCCATACCCTTAATCTGCCTCTGCTGCCAGAATATTTGTAATGTGGGGCCATTCTCTCAGATGTAGGCATCACTGTGAAGTGAACACTCATCAAGAGTTACTATCTAAAAGATGTCTGAGAATATCCTAAACTTGGAACAAGATATACTTCCATTAATTTTACAGCAACTTGTGCTAAAGGTTAATGAATATTAGTTTGAGATTTTTTCCAGTTGCTGAAGTACAATAGTTTGAGACATAAACCATAATACAGATGCCTAAAACCAGAAAAAATCTGCTCCTATAGACTTTGCTGGGAATTTTCTGTCCATAACTAAAGGCAAATATTTGAACTGTATTTTATGTTCAATTTTTGGAGGTTCTAGTCTCAGTTTCCAGATGTCTAACCTAACTGCAATATGTACTCAGACAAAATAGCCATTTGTTCGTATATGGATGCTGAGTAAAACCTCATCGGTTAAAACTAACTTGTATTTAACACTCTCTGTAGTTGAAAACTTAAAAGTAAGCTTGTTCCTTTTACCTCTGGCATATGCCAAAATTCTTCCAAAACTAGACTGAACAGATCAGACTTAATGACTTGTCATCCTTTGTATTCTCTCTTCCAGAGTAATAATAAGAAATGTGCACTAATGTGATGTCTTTCATCTAAAGGTCTCAAACCTTTTGGCATGTGCTAAGGAGAAAACAGAAAATTCATCTTGCTTAAACATCAGTCCTTTTATCTTTCAAGCCTTATAATAGCTTTTCTTGCTAGTAGTTCCTAATGATCAGAGGTGTTAGTGATTAAAGAAATGTTTCTGTTTCCCAGTCTGCCGTTGTCCGCAGGATTCTGAAAAAAATGTAGTATTTGTAGAAATCGCCAATTTTGAAAGGAGAACTTCTGTGTTTTTATTTAAACTGGGAAGAAACAGAAAATAACATTGTATGTTTTCCTTCTTCCAGATTTATCATAGTCTTAGGCTATCTCTTTAAAGAATCAAGGCAATATGCTCCTGTGGTATGTAAATCCGCCTCATTCCATAGACTTAGAGGACCTGAAATGTACAAGTTGAGCATATGTCCTTCAGAAAATATTTAATTTTTATCCAGCTGATACTGAATTAAATATAAATTAAATTCCTAATTACATCACCTTCTTATTTCTGTTTTCTTATTTCTGTTCTTATTTCTTCTTATTTATGTTTTACATTATTTATTCTTAAAAGACTGCATTTCTTATATGATAAATCATAACAGTAAACCATGTGCATAAATTTTCATGTCTCCATTCTTCATTTCTCCTGAATGTTACTTCAAGTACCCACAAGAAATCAGGATCTTACTTTCCCTCTTCCCCTCTGTCACTTCAAACTTCTACAGAACCTGGACACTTTTCCTTATTGAAACAGGTATTACGGATTCCCTTGACTCAGTTTAAAAAAATTACTTATCTGTACCTCTGCCACTCATTGTATCCTCTCCACTTTACTGCAGAAGATAGAGGTTTTTCTGCTACAGATCTACACACTGAGAGAATGGAGTCTGAATAATGTTGGGGAAGGTGTATTCAATTCACCCTCTGATCTTCTAAAACAAAAAGGCAGTGATCGTATTGGAGGCTGAACTCCCCTAAAGAACATCCTCAAAGAGGCCCAGAACTCTGGACCATCAGGAAAATGATACTGACAGGCAAGATATGAGGGCAAATGGTGAAAAGGGTCAGAGTTGTCTTGGAGGAACACAGCTGACTGGGGTAACCCTGCTCTTTACAGGACTCTGGGGTTCTCTGACTCTAAAGGAGATAAATCATTCCCATTGGGAGACAATTACCATTACTGCGAAATACTCCAAGTCTAGACCTTTAAGGTTTTCTTATCCAATATGTAAGAATGCTGTTATAGGGCTGGGGACAGTAGGTAGGTGAGTTTATGTGATGGGAAGGACCAATAACATTAGAAGGAAGTGGAACTGTTGAGCACAGAGCATGGCTGGGTACTTTGGCATCAGCACAGTTCACCTGTTCCTCTCCCACACCCTGACCTTATGTACCAAATGCAGCTGGTTGGCAGATTGTCCCCGATGTGCCAATCTCTGAAACTGATGACACGACACATGACACATGATGCAATTAAGTAGAAAGGGGCTGCAGAACTGTGCTGCAAATGTATGAGAGATACACCAGCTAGGGTAGACAGGTGAAGTGTGGGGTGAAAACTACTGGTGAAAATCTCATGGCTCAGCAGATAAAACTTCACAGGTGTAAAGGACACTTCATTAAATGTCACTTGGTACAAGCCACTGTTGAGAGAGTCATATTATATAAAGCACTTTCTTCCTTCCTAACCTGCCAGCTCAGGTCTCTTATCTAACCTTGTTCATATCCATGCACTGAGCTGTTGGCAACCACAAGTGAAAAGGAGAATGTACTCTGCAAATACTCATTGCCAGCATTAGTGCCTGCTTGCTGTTCTCTTCACATTTCTGGCCAAGAAAGGTCTGTCCAGTGAACAGGCAAATTTTACCTCACTCCTCCTTCAGGGAATACAAAGCCTAGTGTTCAAAGAGTTCTCCTAATGAGTTACTAATCATCTTAACTCTTTCTTTAAAACTCTCAGTGCTATATCCCTCCTATTTCTCTTCTAAGTCTCTAAAACTGCTTTAGTGCTTATAAGGCATTGTACTCAATATGGTATTTAAAAGACCCCTCTTCCCTGGAATTTTGAAGAATTGATAATTTCCACTTTTAGAGGCAGAGATAGGGATCACAGTCTTATACTCTACCTGTATTCTCTCCTTCAGCTTCTGGGAATGCTTCTTCCTCTCATTTATCTTTTGGCTTTTCTCTTCTACGTCTGCCTCCAGCTTCTTTACGTGCTGCAGCAAAAAACCTTCCTCAGCCTCTAAGCTCTTCCTTTGCTCCATTTCTCTTTGCTGACAGTTCTTTGTTTCTGTCACAGATTGCTGCATAGCATTTTTCAAATCCTCTTTTTTTCTCTTGTAAGAGGCTTGTAGTTTGCTTGTTTTCTGAGTATATTCTTCAGTTGCTTGCTGGTTCTCACTCTTCAGGTTTTCCATCTCATTTATTAAAGCTTGTCCTTTCACACTGTATTTTTCCTCTAAAATTACTTTTTTGCCTAAATTTGCTCTCCTAGATGCTGTGCATTCATTTAGCAGTCCATCACACTCCTGATTTAAATGTAGAAGCTTGTTTTCAAAGTCTGCATTGGTATCTGCCGTGTCTGTAGAAAGGACAGTCTGTGCTTGTTTCCCCTCTGTTCTCCACTCCCTCTCTTCCACCTGCTTCTTGCACAATGTTAACTCTGCCAAGGCCTCCTCCTTTAGTCTCTTGTGTTGTTCTACTGCAATTTCAAGGGCCTGAATACGTTTTCTCAGCAATTGTTCTTCTTCAACTTTGCTTTTACACTGGAGAATCGTTTCCCTTGTCTCAGCAACAATGTGCTGAATTTCTTCTTCATGAGCCTCTCTCAGAGCCTGTATACTAGCCTCATGCTCATCATTTTTAGCGTTCAGGGCATATATCACCTATAGAACAAGAAAAATAATAGGAAATTAAAGTATCTGGCAAATGGTAGTCATGAATTCAGTTACTACATTTATCAAGGTGTTAAATGCTAAAAGAGAATTACTGCTACAGTTTAATCTTTTTTTGTTCTTTGTGGTGCTTTTTTCACTAGGAACAGAAGGGACAATTATAAACTGTAAAACCTTATAGGGACAGAAGACAATACTGTAAGAAACAATTTTTTTTTAATTTCATTTTTTGTCAGAAATTTCCTTTTTTATTCTTGGCAAGTTGTCACTTCATGCCCCTAGTTTGATCTCTGATACAGGGAATGAAAAAGGGCCCCTTCCCTAGCTAAATGACTCCACATTTGTGGCCCAGTTCACCTAGCCTTCGGTGCAGGAGGACTACCCACCACATTGCCTTTAGCATTAGCAAGTGCTGGGGACCAGTAGCAGCAGACCTGTGGAGTGAAACCTGAAGTCCTGACATCCAGTTCATGTGGACCAAACTCACTCTGTGATGTAAATGAAAGGAAAGTTTGTAAGGAGGATTAAATTTTGCACTCCTGCCTCAAACTAAAACACTACTGAAGATGCACTCCAGGAAGCTGTATGCCTGGTAAGTTAGCTTGTCCAGCACTTCAGGATAGGTATTGCTTGACTGCAAGCACCTTTTGGCTTGATTCTGAGAAGTCTTCAGGCAATGGGGTTTTTTACTTCACTTCAGTTATAAATACAAGAAATCAGGTTTTAGCAGATTCAAACGAGCCTCTGATGACAATAAGCTTTCAAACAATTGATTTTAACTTGTTGAAGTTTTATTTTCTTCTACAAAATGCAGAATAATTCTCATGACTATAAGACAAATTACTATCCCAGGCAGGCTTCCTCTGCTACCCATGGCATACACCAAAGACCTCTTACAGAAGATGTTGTACAAGCACACTGCTATTGTTTTGAAAAGAAAATGCTATCAGAAGCCCATAGCAGACTGAAATGAAGAGTTCAGAGTCAAAACTAGTAACTGCATGTTAAGCTTACAAGACAGTTACAGATAATTGCAAAACAGAGTAACTGCCTTGAAAAGACACATGCTTGCCTTTTCAGGCCCCCATTAGGACAACATGGGGCCTAATCCAGTTTCTACTGGGCATAGTTATCTAACTCAAGGGGAACAACACATTATGTATTAACGTATGTGTGGAGGTTTTCCACTTGTTTGGTTGGTTGGGGGTTCTTTTAGAGAGAACTTGCTGATCTACAGAACTGGGTTTGGAATTTGTATGCAAGTTATGACAGATACTTTTGGTCTGGCCTGAGCCCATAGAAGTTAATCAAAAGATTCCTAGAGAATGTTTAAGAAAATAATATTCTTAAGTACTTAAATAAATACATATAAATACAGAAGCAAGGTCACAAATAATTCTTTAATTATACTAGAATTTTGGCCCTGTAATCGTCAGTATTTCCTCAGGGGAAGCCTCAATTGAGAGACCAATAGGCGTCTTGACCACAGTAAGTGTCACAAGCCTGTAGTCTGTGTTGTGTAAGCCCTGAGGATGTCTCCAATATCATTGTATTTGCTCAGCTATGTCTAACCATTTCTTGTGCTATCTGTATATGAATAACATTGAATTTCAGGCATCCATAAATGAAAGCAAACACACAAATACATCTTGTGTATAGTCAACTTCCTCCCTGTCAGTAAAGAATGAAGTACAGAAATCTCAAAAAGTCACAAATGCAAAACGTGGTCTGGATACATTTCTGGATAAATATGTGACAAAAGGGAGTAACAGCAGCATATTCCAGAAGACAAGCAGACAAGAAAGTCATTGTCTACATTTAGATAAGTATCTTTTTGGGCCTTAGATTACATGCTGTTAATTCTTCTCTGTTATTTTTAACCATTTTTCCTTTGAAACAGAAATAGTTGCAGGATACCAAGCAGATTCCCTCTCCCCACTAACTAAAATTGTTCTACAAACCTTTCCTAACTGTTCAGGAGACAGACATAAAAACTACAAGGTGAAGATTAATTTTACCCACAGGTTTAGAATGACCACTAATTAGTTTGGGCAACCCTTCAATTAACTAGGTCAGATGCTAATGATCACATTTCTGTCTTTTATTCCACCAGCAAAACAGAGATGAACACATGGCCTTTGTGACTCAAAGACTTCTACTCTTAATGATTAATTTATCTAGTAAATCAACACTGCCTGGCTCATATTATGTTATGTTCAGGCTGACAGTGGAATTTGGGTTCCTCTAAAGTCTGACTTCCCAAGATTTCCCAAATTTCACTGTGCATTAGACCACCACCACCATCTTAACTGAGTTATCTAAAAGAATGGAAGAAACTGGCCTCCCTGCACTATCTATTATTCCTACACTTCTGTTCAAAGGTGGGTAGAACCACAATGATGGATTTGGACTTGAAAATGCCTACCTCTAAATTTAATCTTCAAGCTTGAGTGCTGAAACTGATCCCTCAGTATCTTAGCCTTCTTAAGAGATTTAATTTTTAGAGTTCTGCTGCTCTGTACTTTATGAAGTTTAAGCGCCTCACACATGCCTTTCACTCCCTACCAAATATAGTTACTATATTCCTATTTCAGATAACTCCAGTCTCTTCAGTGAGGTATGCGACATGAATCTGGGACTTCATATGCTGGAAGGAAAAATACTGAAAAATTATTTCAGCATCTGTACTTTGCAAGTGTACATACTGCTGGCTAATGTGGTATAAATCTCTTAACAGTTGTGTTGATAGGCAGCTTTTTAAAAGCAGCTCTAAAATTCATCAGTTTGACAATGCAGGCAAAATTGCTTTCAACTGAAAAGAGGGCTGCATTACTCTTCGAGTTACTAACATAACACCAATGGCTACCGCCTCCTTACAGTTCTCCAAAACAATGTATTGGGAAGCATTGTACTGATTTTAGAGCAACTGAGAGTTATATGACAGTTTGGAAAAAACACTATTACACATATACACTTGAACATTAATGGTGCAGTGAATATGAATACATCTTATTAGTCCTATTTTGTCCTCCAAATGCTGTAAATCTAAATGGCATTTCTCTTCTCCTTTACTTTATAGTGATGTAAAATAATGAAAAACTGTTCTATTTTCCTACAGTAGTGTTAAACACTACTCTTGTAGGAAACTGAAAAAAAAATAATGAAAAAAATTGTTTTAGCAGGTTGCTTTATTAGCTGGCTAAGAAGTGAGACAGTTTGGTATGGAAGTTGAGGAGTGAGGATGATAAGAAGAATCAAAGAAAGGCAAAAGATCACAGGTGTTCTTCCTTTGGCCCCAAGCCAGTGGGCACAAATCCTTCTTGATTAAAAAAGAGCTAAAAGAAAAAAAAAAAAAGAAACACAAGGATGAGAAAAGGCCCTGGAGGGGTGTGCCAAACAGGGTACTACTGGCAGCACCCCGAACAAAGCAGGGAAGCAAACAAGTTTTGATTATAAATTAGTTTGCTAGAGGCTCACTGAGGCCAGGTGACCACACCATCTCCTTTTCACTAGTAGAGGAAGTATCTTGCCTTCACTAGCAGGTGAATTTGTTTCTATGAATTCTATGTTGTCTACTTCCTAAGCAGACCAGAGCAGAGTGAGGTAACTTTGAAATAATTTTGCCAAACTTAAATATCAAAAGCACTATTATTTTTGTAGATTTTGTATGCAATTAAAAACTAGAATAAATAAAATCAGTCAGCATGACATTTATATGAAATATATTTATATTTCTTTGTTCTCCCTGAGGTGAATCAAATTCATCCTAAGCGTATTTATCCGGTTAAGCTGAATTCAAATGCTGTCAGAGAGGATTGCATTATTTTTCAGTAGAAGTTAAATAGGTAAAATTAATGTCTATTAAAAACCACAGAACTAGATGAAAACACTTTATTAATGAATAAGCAAAATTTTTTAAAGTAAATCAACACACACACATATGCAGACAAGCACAAAGGCCAAATTGTTTGATTTCAGAGTCCTTTCTGTTCGCCTTTTGTAATCTCTGTCTTGGTGAAATTCTTGCAAAAGTCCTTAAGATCTCAAATATCCCCATAAATCTTTGGCTTTTACAGGATGAGTTCAAATCCATCTTATAAAGCTGTTTCAGATAGGTAACAGGCAAGAAATAGAAGATTTGTTTGACACAAGCCACATTTATATCTATGCCCTCTGTCTGTCCATTTTAAGGTCATTGTAGACCAGGTGAATTTTTAGTGCAGAAGTGAAGTCAACAATTCTGTGTCAACAGAAGGAATAAAAAGGCCTTATTTCCATGTAATCCACTGATAATTTAGCTGTTTGGGTTTTGTTACATATCTAAAACTTATGGGAGAGTTTGATAGGTTTATATCCCTGAAGTTTGATCTTCATTATGCCTCAAAAATATGAGGTAATGATCTCATTAATCAGATCTAAATACAGTGGTGACAGAATTAATTTGCCAAATTAACACCCAACTGTATGTTATGAAAATGTTTCATTACATCCCAAATTTTTAAAGATCTTTAAGACATCTAAAATTGCAGACATATGTTCAGTGTTTCCAAAGGGCTGTGGGGTTTTTTTTGATGATTCTAGATATTTATCTGGAACTTTATCCTTCAAAAATACTTTTAAAATCTTGTTACAGATTATGATAAAGCGACGTCCAATCTTACAATAAATTCAGCAAACAAACAAATTCATCAAGTAAGTTCTCGCTTGATTCCTGTTTTTCAAAGTATTTCCTTACTTTAAACACAGTAGAATTTGGAAGTCTTGCAAATGTAAACTGTAGAATGATTAATTTAATTACAGCCCAGGGTGAAACAGATTTTCCCAACCAACTATATCTTTTTTGTGAAGACAAATATTATAATTTATTTAAAACATAATGTTTATTGCAGGTTTTGCCTTCGAGGTAGATCTGTGATTAAGCACAAATAAAATGAGGCCTGTTTTTTCCTAATCCAGACTAAAGCATTACACAGATTGGAACAAATTCTTAC